ACAAATATAAACATAAATGCACTTAATATCACAGTCTGAAATATATAAAGCAAATATGACAGAAAAAATGATAAAACAGACAAATAATAGTCAGAGACTTCAATATCTTACTTTTGAAAATGGAGAAAACAACTAGGCAGAAGATCAACAAGGTTACAGAAGACTTCAACACTATAAACTCACTGGAACCAAGAGACATGTATAGAACATACCACCTAACAATAGCAGAATGCACATCCTTCTCAAGTGTAAGGCATACATTCTACAGAATAAACTATACACTAAAACATAAAAACAAACCTCAATAAAATTTAAGTGAACTAAAATCATATATAATATGTGTTCCCCCACAAACATAGACTCAAATGAGGTATTAATAACAAAAGGAAATTTACAAATATATAGAAAAGAAATGAGATATTCCCAAATAACCAAGGGGTCAATGAAAACAAATTGCAATGGAAATTAAAAAGATTTTAGAAGAATTAAAACAAAAACACAACAAACCAAAACTATGAGCAGGCTGCTAAAGTATGGAATGGGGAGTGAGTACAAACAGGTGGAGGGTACCTGGGGTAAAAAACATTTTAAAGTTAGAGTGTAGTGAGGATGGTTACCAGAGATAAGGTGGAGTAGGGGGACAGGTTAAATGGATAATAGGGATTAAGCAAGACACTTGTGATGTGCACAGAATGATATATGGAAATGTTGAATCACTATATTGTACACCTGAAACTAATAATACACTGTACGTTAACAAACTGGAATTTAAATAAAAACTTTTAAAAATGAAAATAAAATTACACTGTAGTGATGTCTGCACAACACAGTGAATTGTAAACTTTAAATGTATGAAATGTATTGCATATGAATTACATCTCAAAAAAACTGTTTTTAAAAAAAGCTAATGACAGATAGTTTCAACTTGCATACTAAATATATCATTTCTCCTTCCAAAGCTCTAGCTTAGCTGCTCTTCTTGTATATATTTCAATAATCTTTTAAAAAGAATTTTCTCGTCCAACACGTAAAGAACTTAGAAGCCACATCTGTACCAGAAAAGAGCAAAAGAAACTGAAAATCAACAACTCTTAAATCCATCAGAGAACTGAGTTCACAGGATAAATAACTCCTGAAAACCAGAGAGACAAATACAAAGAGGGATTAATATTAAGAGACCTGAAGGCACTGGAACCAGGAATGGGTAGGAAAAATTAAACTGTAATTAACCAACTGCTAGGGGCTAAGCATAAACTCACTTTAGAGAGAAAAATTCCTTGGGACTCCTGGGTGGCTCAGGTCATGATCTCATGGTTCATTGAGTTTAAGCACCACATCAGGCTCTCTGCAGTCAGTGAAGAGCCACTTAGGCCTCTGTCTCCCTCTCTCTCTCTGCCCCTCTCCCTCACTCTCTCTCAAAAAGAAGCAAACAAACAAAAAATAAAAGCAAAAAAAACCCCAAACAAACCACAAAGCCCAGCTTTAGGGAGGACTCAGATTTTCATGAGCTTTACTTCCAGGGGCCCCACAAGGCTCTCAAGATGAAGACAGGACAAAAATACCCTCATACTCTTGGCAAAGGGTATGACAAAATAACCATTTTAGAAGCTCAGAGCCCTCTATTTTCCATAATAGACTGAACTCAAGGGAAACTATATTACCAGAGCTTCACTGCCTAGGTTTTACTTGAGCTTAACCAACCCGGAAGACGGGAAACACCCAACTCTGACCCCACACCACCCCCAAGCCTTCCTGTTTCACCTAAAGAGAAGAAAAATGCTAAGAAGCACTTGTAAAAGTAGGCTCACTAAAATACTGACACCCAGTCATAGGATTACTATAATGAACTGCCCTCCACACCTTGTCACTACATCAATAAAGCTCCTCTATAATGACAGATTACAAATGATAGAATGGAAGCATGGCTAGGGCTCTATTTAAGGAGTGTCAAGGGAAACCAAAAGACAACAGGGAGACAAAAAACAAGGACACCAGAGGAAATGTTACTGTCTGATAACAGTTACAGCAAATAGTAATACTGCCTAACTTTTAGCCAGTAATCTAAAGCCTCACACCAAAGGCCTATTTACCTGTTATTTTTCCCTAATACATCAAGTACAGTGTTTAACAAAAAATTACAAGGCATGTTATAAGACAAAAAAACAGTCTGAAGAGATGAAGCAAGCAACAGAATCTAACTCAGATATGGCAGAGATTTTAGAATTATGAAACTAGGAATTTAAAATAACTGTAACTAATATGCTGAAAGCTCTAATGGAAAAAGTGGATAAACTTCAAGAAGAGATGAGTAATAAAAGCAGAGAGATGGAAACTCTAATAAAGAATCAAAAAGAAATGATAGGGGCGCCTGGGTGGCTCAGTTGGTTAGGCATCCAACTTCAGCCCAGGTCATGATCTCACAGTTTGTGGGTTCAAGCCCCGCATCAAGCTTTGCTCTCACAGAATGGACCTTGTTTCAGATTCTTTGTCTCCCTCTCTCTCTGCCCCTCCCCTGCTTGCATTCTCTCTCTCTCAAAAGTAAACATAAAAAAAATTATAAAAAAAAAGAAATGATAGAAATCAAAAACAGCATAATGGAAATGAAGAATGCCTTTGATGGGCTCATTAGTAAGCTGGACATGCCAAGGAATGAATCTGTGAATTTAAGAGCTGATCAATAGAAACTTCCCAAACTAAAATGTAAAGTGAAAAACAAATAAAACAGAACAGAATGTCCTTAACAGAATTCAAGGACAATTTCAAAGGATATAAAGGCAGAAACGAGGGGGTACAGATTGTAATTTGAGAATTCTTTACCAAACCATTTTATACTCTGTAAAACAAAGCCCAAAATTTTTAGACATCATGCCCTTCTTAAATCTTACGGTAGTCCTCATGTCTGAGACCAGGACAGACATGAACTGGGACTGTCAGATAGTTCTGACATCAAACTTATTTCTGATAAAATTAGAGGATATTTAAGGCCAGTCATTTCATCTACGCTCATCACTAAAATCCCTGGTCCAGACAAGCAAATATTGCCAGTCTCCCATCCCCACATTCTATTACTGCTCTATTTTCTTACCTCGGTTCCTCTCACTACTTGTTCCTTCACTCCTAATTTGTCTTCTGTGCTCTTTGAAACCCTTCTATTTAATAAACAATCATTCTCAATTTTTTCATAAAACACTCTCCAACTTTTTGCCTTAAAAAAAAGCAGCTTTATTTTCCCCTTGTTACTACTGCCCTTGCAGCCCTCTTCCATACACCATGACTCTGGAAACAAGGAGAGATGGAAGTGGCATTTAACCACTTGTCACAATGACTTCTTTTTAATGTTTTATTTTATTTATTTATTTATTTTATTTCTAGGGGGGAGAGAGAGAGAGAGAGAGAGAGAGAGAGAGACAGCGCGAGCAGGGGAGGGTCAGAGAGAGAGGGAGACACAGACTGAAACAGGCTCCAGGCTCTGAGCTGGCAGTCAGCACAGAGCCCGACGCGGGGCTCGAACCCACGAACCGCGAGATCATGACCTAAGCAAAGTCGGACACTTAACCGACAAAGCCACCCAGGCGCCCCAAATGTTTTATTTATTTTTGAGAGAGAGAGACAGCATGAGTGGGGGAGGTCAGAGAGAGAGGGAAACACAGAATCCGAAGGAGGTTCCAGGCTCTGAGCTAGCTGTCAGCACAGAGCCTGTCGCGGGGCTCAAACCGACGAACCATGAGATCCTGACCTGAGACGAAGTCAGACACTCAACCGACTGAGCCACCCAAGCGTCCCCACAATGACTTCTTTACCAGTATTTTCCATATTTCTCAAATAAACAACAACAACAAAATGAAATGAAATGAAAACAACCTCCTTTTTGAGGCTTAGGCTACAAACAACTTCTCTACTACCCTCCATCTATCACTTTCTCCCTGAAACTCCCAGTCCCTCCCATTCATTTTTTGAAGACTTCACGGTTCACAGATTTTCCCTAATACCCAAATCCCATATTAATCAGAAAATAATTAAACATAGCTAACTAATCCAATAAGCTACCCTCAAAATCACAACTTACTTTCTACCCTAGTGATCTTTATTCAGTTTCTACTATCAAATCCTAGGGCCATGCAACAGATCTAGTCACCCTTCAAACTGATTCCCATTTAAATGTACCACTTCAATCTGACCAAAATTACCCACTATTCTAGCTTTCTCCATAAATATATCCACCTCATCTATTCAACTTCATAAATAAACCTCTGTCCCTTCTATTTTCTCCAACTAACCACTCTTATGGTTTCTCTTCTCTTTCTCTTCAAGCAGGCTGAAACCAAGGTGATCAACTCTTACTGATTCCCTTCCACTGCTTTCCATTTATCATATATATCCAGTCAACAAATCCCTCAACCAAGGATGAATCCTATAACTCATCTTCTGCAGTCCTGAGTTTTAGTAGAGAAAGATCAGAGATTCTATTAAGGCTGACAACATTACAAAATCATCTCCAACCTCAGGTGATTTCTCAGAACTATCTGCCAATTCTTTTGCTTGTCCTTGGTCAGATCCAACCCCTATTTACTTTAACACCTGCACCAAGCCACTCTCCTCAAACCCCCTAGTCTTTCTTTGCCACTCCCTACCTCCCTCAGCAGATAATCTTGCTTTCTACCTCAAAACTGATTTCTCAGTTTCCTCTCTACAAACTTATTTGGATCCACTCTTTTCTTGTGCTCAATTAGTTTCTTTTTTCCTTTCAAGTCATAAAAAGGAATACAGACATAAACTGACTCTAATTATCGGGCTCTTCTACATAATTCAGTTCTAAACACTATCATAAAGAATGCAATGAAAAATCAAATGGTTCATCCAATAAAAGATCTGAGGATTTATAAATACACCTAATTCAAAGTTAACATTACTGCAGAAGTTCAAAATTTAAAAATTAGCCATTGCATGATATTTTTAACAAGCCAGCCATAAGAACACCAAATACCTTCTCTTCTACATACCTGCTAAATGTGTGAGAGTCTTTTGCACAGTGCCAGAAGATACTCTCAACATTCTGAGATCTGAAGAGTGATACTCCAACTCTCTGGTTGGCTCCTGAGGAACAAATGGAGGCAATACAGATGAAAAAGACTGATTAGTGTCCGTATTAGAACGATCTACCTATAAAAAGAGATAAAAATTTAAGAAAATAAGATCAATTTTAGGCTACATCTGGTAAAAAACACACAAACCTAATTTTTATGAAAATGAATACTAAACAGTTATGCCAGTTCCTTAAGATCATATTCTCAACCCTCCTGAATTCATATACAAGTCATATCCTGTTTGGTCAATTCTAGGAAGGCTCTACAAATTATTCTGAGGATCTGGAAGTCTGCATAGAATACTACAGATCAGAAGCCTTGAAGTTTGTTCCATGTAACAATAACATGATGACTGAAGAATCTGAACTTTGGTATATTACTCTTGACAAGCTCAAAGATTTTTTTTTAAAGGAGACATAATTGTGAAAGAGAAACGGAAGGAAAACAGGAATATTTTCCACAAATCCACAAATGTTTAGGAAACAAAGAACTGTATCTATAATCAAATACCAAAAAATATATGTCCTCAAATTTCTTTAAGCAAAAGTAGTAATGAAGTAAAAGTAAAGTAGAAGTAATAGTGAACAAAACTGACAATGAAGTAAAGGTTAAATGCTGAAAAAGAAGTTCTCAAAGTTTCATTAGATCCCAGCAAGTCCTTACTAGAAATTAGATACCATCATTGGTGATGTCAATATATAAATGTATAAAACTTTTCATCAAATTCACTCTCATGTAGAAACAATATACCACTTTTGTTTTCTTTGTTCTCTTAAAAATATTATTCCCTCTTTTTGACGCCCTCTATGGAGAGTCTAAAGATGTAAATAAGCATAAATTCTGTTCTATCCTTTTTTATCAAGGTTTTTTCTATTGTGTAATGATGAACAGTGTTAGGAAGCTGGCAGAGTACAGAAATAAATATTCTATTTCTACTGCCCTGGTCTAGGTTTCTCTAGACCAGTGGTTCTCAATTGTGGGAGATCTTGCCCCCACCCACCCTCCCCAACCAAGGAACATCTGGCAAGTCCTGGAGACATTTTTCACTGCCCTAATTTTGGGCGTGGGGGGGGGAGGGTGGCTACTGGCATCTAGTGAGCAAAGCCAGGGATGTTACTCAGCATCCAAAAATATACAGAAAAGCCCCCCACAACAAAGAATATAGTATAAAAAAAAAAAAAAAAAAAGACAATAGTAAGAGAAACTCTGCTTTAAACATAGCACAAAATTCTTAGTTTTCAATTACCCCACTCTTAAAGGAGACTTATTGAAGTACAGCTCATTAACATATATATCACATATATGATAGAGACCCTGTGTGTGTGTCCCCAGTACATATATGTACTGAATAGCAGCTTTTCTCTAGAGCTTCCAAAGATAGGAAGAAAAAATTTCTATTCCAATCATGACTACAATAAAATTTCATTAATATTGTTCAGTCATTAAAAAAATGAAATCTGGCTATTTGCAACAACATGGATAGTTCTAAAAGGTATAATGCTAAGTGAAATAAGTCAGAGAAAGATAAATACCATATGATTTCACTCATGTGGAATTTAAGAAACAAAACAAATGAACAAAGACAAAAAAACAAACCAAGAAACAAACTCTTAACTAAAGCGAATGAACTGATGTGTACCAGACGGGAGGGGGTTGTGGGATGGGTGAAATAGGTGAAGGAGATTAAGAGTACACTTATCACAATGAGCACTGAGTAATGTATAGAACTGCTAATGTACAGAATATTATATACATAAAACTAATATAACTGTATGTTAACTATACTGGAATTAAACATCAGTAAATACATTTTTAAAAAATTCATTTTATCAAAGCTTTAAAACATACAGATATTAGAGTAGGTAATACAAAAGAAAATGCAGAATGAGAAAGATGAGAAGTATTTATTTAAGAGATTAGCAGGTCTTCATTACTAATTGAAAATGGGAGGAAATCAGGAAGAAAAAAATCAAGATTGGTTTATTTCCCAGTTTTTAATCAATAATGAAAAAAGAATTGAAGGTGATGAAGAAACCAAGAAATGCTAACTCTTCTATAAGAACTAAGAAAATTGGGGCGCCTGGGTGGCTTGGTCGGTTGGGCGTCCGACTTTCGCTTAGGTCATGATCTCGCGGTTCATGGGTTCGAGCCCCACGTCAGGCTCTGTGCTGACTGCCAGTTCAGAGCCTGGAGCCTGTTTCAGTCTGTGACTCCCTCTCTCTCTGACCCTCCCCTGCTCATGCTGTCTCTCTCTCTCTCTCTCCTAGAAATAAATAAAAATATTTAAAAAAAAAAAAAAAAAACTAGTCCCATTGATGGGGCGCCTGGGTGGCTTAGTTGGTTAAGCGTCCGACTTTCGCTTAGGTCATATTCTCACGGTTCGTGGGTTTGAGCCCCGCATCGGGCTCTGTGCTGACTGCCAGCCCAGAGCCTGGAGCCTGTTTCAGAGTCTGTGACTCCCTCTCTCTCTGACACTCCCCTGCTCACACTGTCTCTCTCTCTCCTAGAAATAAATAAAACATAAAAAAAAAAAAAAAGAACTAAGAAAATCTACAAGTCAGTCTGATTTCAGAAAAATGTCTGAGTTCTCTCGATATAGGCAAGTTGTGTTTGAGGTGATGAGAATGTTCACAAGAAAATTTCATGCGAGACAGCATATGGGTCTACCTCAAGAAAAATATTAGGGTCTAAAACTACAGGTGATAACCATCACACAGAGGAAAGCATTTAAACCTTGAGAGGAAATCAGGTCCTGGTGTAAGAGGGGAAACCAACAAAACAAAAATAAATCTAAAGATTAAACCTTAAATAATATTTAGTTACATGGCCAAAATAAGGAATACTTATTTTTTCATAGAAGCTAAAAGAATGTAACATGCTGCTACCAGGAACAAGGAGAAAGAGAGAAAAAAATAATGACAGATAGGAGGAAACCACTGGTGAGAGTCTAGATTCAGTAAAATGAAGAAAACTAACAGCCAAGCAGTGCTACTATATACATTACCCCATCCAACATAACAATGCATGAGGTTATTACTATTCCTATTTCTTTGTAGATAAGTAGAAAGATCCTCCAAAGTCATCTGCCCAAGACACAAGGCTAACAAATAACTGAACAAGGTTCTGACTCCAAATCTCCACACTCCTTTCATGACCCCAAGCTACGTTATACATAAGTAGATGCCCAAATAATCATTTAGAGAAATGATGGTTATGTATCAAAGTAAGGCTAACAAGTATGAATGACTCTTCTGAGACACAGATGAGAATAAGAAAGAAACCAAGGAGCCGGCAAGCCCTCTGAGAGCAAGCTGAGGCATGCAGGAAGATTACTACCATATCTAGTTCCTTGTTTCCCTAATATTGGCATCATGCAACTCCCAGATCATAGAATGGAGCTAAGAGTGAAAGATAATACAAGGAAGATCCTCCCTGAACTGAAAAAATATACTTAAGGTTATAGCTGGGGGCAAATAAAATTTGGAATAGTGGTCAGAGGTCATCTTAGCACATCACTATTAACTGAATATATATTTACATTTCTTTAAATATATGTTATGTGTATAAAAAGCTGGGGCACCTGAGTGGCTGGGTCAGTTAAGCATCAACTCTTGATTTCAGCTCAGGTCATGATCTCATGTTCATGGGACTGAGACCCTTGTCAGGCTTTATACTGCCAGCACAGAGCCTGCTTGGGATTCTCTCTTACTCTCTCTCTCTGCCCCTCCCCCACTCATGTGTGCTCTCTCTCTTGCTCTAAAAATAAACAAAAAAAGCTGATTTAAGTTACATAAGTAGTACTATCAAAAAAATCAGAAACTCTAAGTTTAAAACTGATCATACTTATTTCTCATTCTTATTGATATTGACTTGGACCAATTCCCTGCAAAACCTTTACTCTTGCCAAAATAATGCAAAATCTTGGCTTTGGTTTCACTAACAAGTAGTTAAACAGGAAGACAATTTATGATATAGTGGTTACATACATAGATAAGGTCAGTTTCAAATACTAGCTCCCCTACTTGCTAAATAATCATGAACAAGTTCCTTTAAGTATCAATTGCAAAATGGGGATATTAACAATCCAGGGGCGCCTAGGTGGCTTAGTCGATTAAGCATCCGACTTTCGCTTCGGTCATGATCTCGCGGTTCATGGGTTCATGGCAGTGCTGACTGCCAGCTCAGAGCCTAGAGCCTATTTCAGAGTCTGTATCTCCCTCTCTCTCTGACCCTCCCCTGCTCACGCTGTCTCTCTCTCTCTCTCCTAGAAATAAATAAAAGTATTTAAAAAAAAAAAAAAAACAATCCTGATAGGACTGATCAAAGGACTAAATAAATTAATGTATATATGTAAATCTCTTAGCATAGTATTTGAGCACACATTGTTAGCTATCATTTTCTATCCCACTGTTGTTAGGCTGAAAATTAAACAATGCCTACTTTAGAATGTTAAAGAAAATAAAATTAACCTCATGGTTCTTTATATTTCAATTTTAAATAAATTCAGTAATTATAAATAAAAGGAAAAGTTTATCTCAATATCTTTGTTCATTTTCTCCATCAACTGCCTGAACCTAAAGGCCTAAAAATGACTGTGTGCCAAACTAGCAGCTTTCTAATGACATACTAATTTTATACATGGAAGAACAGGAAAAGGAGAGTAACATTAAGTATACAATATCTACAGTATAACTAACTAAATTTAATGACTAACAAGATACAAGAATGGATTATAAGGAAGCTGACAGTATCTGACAGAAGAGGATGGGCAATGGAACCAAAGGAACATTAAAGTCAAGGGATCCAAGGATCCAGGCAAAAATGAAGCCCTCTATAAAAGAAAGATTGACACGGAACTTTCTTAACACCTCAACGTTACTTTCTAGTACACACACATAATGCTAATAATGATATCGAGAGAGAAGGGAAGGAATGTGTGTATGCACAGGTATGTGACTCATTTGGAAAGAAGCAGTTAGTTCCCTTTGGGGACACTAGCTAGTGTGGACAGTAAGCACCTCAGTATCCTTCCTGAGGAAACACTGGTTCTTATAATCTTCAAAACTCCTCTGAAGAGTCAAATCTTTCAGGAGATTCTAAACAGAAATATTTAAATCTTCCTGGGTCTATTCCAATGCTTGTACACTGAAAGCAAGAATGAAAAAAATGTACAACTGACTGTATCTATGAGTGAGTCTAATCTTAACACTGTCCCAAAGGTTCCTGCTGGCATGAACCAGCATGTCTCAATATGAAAGGCCTGGGAGCTCCAAAGGATGGCCTTTTCTAAGACACCACAGAACTCACTAATAAGGTCTACAAAATACAAATAGTTCTTTCATGCCTACCTGTAACAAATTAATGGAGCATATTCTTGTATGTCAGATGAAGACCAGATTGTAAGCCACATGTTGGTATCCAAGGATATAAATGGGTCCTTTACTGTTATCCCCATTTTTCAACTAAAATATTCTTTCCCTACCCCATAAGAAATGTCAAGTAGAAAAACTTACAGGCTCCTGAAAATCACTCTCTTGCTTAGATGGCAGTTTTAAGACAGACTGCCAATGCAGAGAGCTGTCACAAACCTCTAGATCATGAAGCACACTTTTAAAACCTGCTAGCTCAAGGCACTCACCTGTCAGGTCACCTTGGTCACATACCTGGGCAACAGTGGAAAGTAAAAGAAAAACAAGTAACAATACCATTTCCTGAAATGATACTAAAAAGACTACATTTCCCCCAACTATCATTTTATTGTGTCTCACCTCTCTTTGTAGATCAGCAACTCTTGTACTGTGTATAACAGCATTTTCATCTAGGCTACAGGATTCAGTATCATCATCCAGAGTATAGATGTCAGATTCAGCCTTCACCTGCAGCCCCTCTACAAAACAGGAGTCATTTTGCATAACTGTATGTAGACTGAAACTAGACTTGGCTCCCATAGGCTGAGGAATTTTACCTTGGCCTACATCAGCTTTCAGCAATGTCTCTTGGCCGACTGCAATTACTGATGCATTCCTGGTCACTGGTAAAATACCATGTGACTTTGCACCACATATCATCAAGTTTGCTGAAAAGCTGCTTCCTACAGCTGTAGATGGACTTTCCATGATGTTACTAGAGTTTATATTCTTACCCGAAATATAGTTTGAGGAATCTGCAACTTCTTCAAAGCTTTGCTGCTTTAAATCTTGTAAGACCAAAGAATCTGAAGTCCTTTCTTTCACTGGATGAAAAATGTTTGAAGATCCTACCTTCTCTGTATGGTCAAGAGCAGGAAAAGACTCTATCTTCCCAATGGGAAGAAATGGCTCATTGTCTAAATCACACTGAAATAAAGCTGGCTGTGCTTTGCCAATACCAACAGCCTGGGTGTGAGATTTTTCACTTAAAGAAGCAGATAACTTATGCTCTGGAATGAGAGAAAGTGGCTTAATGAACATTTCCTGAGGAACACTGGAGAGTGACTTTAAATTAGGATGCCAATACAGGGAACTATTACCATTATCTTTTTTATGCAACAATGGTTTTGAAGCTGCCAATTCAAACACCCCAGGAGTGGACGGACAACATGGACGACTTAACTTATCAAAGAAAGAGCTTTCATCACTATAATTTAATAGGGAAAGATGTGGATTCTTTGGTTCACTTTCTTGGCTATCATTTACTACAGACTTACTGAAGTCAGTTTGGGTTTCATATACTGTGCCCTCTTTCTTGGAAGGCTCAATAGAGGCAATAACTGCCTCAAAGGCTACATTTTCAGAAGCATCAACACTTTTTCCACTAAAAGCAGAAGTTGCCTTTTGGTCTGTTTCCCCTTGAATATACAGTTGTTCTGATGTCTCATCCAATTTGGATTTAAGAGTCTGAAGAGGACCACCAGAAACCTCCATCTTATAGGTATCTGGTCCTCTAGAGTGTATATGTATTTCTGAAACTTGTATAGAATTATCAGGAACTACAACATTCTCAATATACTGTATTTCTGAAGATCTGGGAGGTACCTCTGAAAATACTAAAGTACTTCTACTCTCCTTTAGTTTAAAACCTTGAGATAATTCTTTCCCCAGACCTTCTTCATTTCTTGCACACCCTTCCAAAGAATCCGTCATTTCTTTCACCTCATTCTCAGCTGGAGCCCTTAAATAAACACTCTCCAAAAAATGACTATTAGCTGTCAAGGGAATGCCCTTTCCTCTTCTTTCCAACAGACAATGCCAAAAAAAACGAGACATTTTGTTATTAAAATGAGGAGCAACTTCATGTGGAAAAGAAACACGGTCCTTACTGATCACATATGTTTCTGGATGGTGTGAAGTTTCCTGTCTGTTCCATGGCATACATGAAAAAGGGGCACTAAAATTGTCACTTCCCTCAGGAATTTTATTTTTATCAATTGTGTCAGATGAATCTGAATGAGAATCATGATCCTTACTGGTTAAATATTTTTCTGACTGCTGTAAAGCTTTCTGTTTCCAATACCGCACATATGAACAAGAATCATCAAAACTGTTACTTCCTTTAGGAGTCATATATTCATCACTTGTATCAGATGAAGCTGAAACTGAAACTTGACCTTCATCAGCTAAATTGGTTTCTGGCTCCTGAACTTCTTGTGTCTTCCATGCCATATATGAACAAAGAACATCATAACTATCAAAGTCTTTGGGGGTTTTCAGTTCATCATCTGTATCAGACGAAACCATCTCTTCTTTAGTCCCTTGTTCAGGAGGTAAAAAAGAGCGCTGAGACCCAACAGCTGTGCTACCTATAAGTGAGTGCTGAGATACACTAACACAACTGTTAACTAAGTCTGAAGCTACTTCTGACGCTGCCTGGAATAAAGCTTCACTTACTTCCGACGGTCGAGAAAACCATTCAGTATCTTCAGACTTACCAGGAATTCCCCTGAAAATATACAGTTAAAAATAAATAAATAAATAAATAAATAACACATTAAAAACATTTTTTAAATACTAACATGAAAAATATAATACTGATATGACACTGCAATCAAGATTATTTGAAAAGTGTGTTGAAAAACAAAGTTCTAATTTTAAATTCCCTTAAAGTGGCTAATGACTGAACAAGGCAAATTTCTTATAAACAGAAGATGAACTCCTATCCTATGACCCTAAAACAGTATTACCAAAAACTAGGAATATTTTTATGCTGCCAAAAAAAGATGAAATAAAAAATTCAAACTTTGCTATTTAAAATGTTTAATTTATCACCTACCATAATTTAATACGCATTTAACTTTCACTAATTCTTTTACTAGTCATGTATAGTGTTCTTAAAAACCCTTTAAGATGTGATCTATTCCTAAAACCCAACAGTAATGTATTGGTTGACTTATATACGGAACACTTTTCAAAGAAGTAATTTTAAGAGTATATATAGCAGAAGGGCAAAGGTTTTTACTGTGTAAACATGTACAGTTTTTTTTTTTAACTTTTTTGAGTACAGGTGATGCACAGTCTTACATTAGTTTCAGATGTACAACACTTACCATGGTGAGCACTGCGTAATGAACAAAACTGTCAAACCACTATGTTGTGCACCTGAAGCTAATATAACACTGTATGTCAACTATACTTCAATAATAAAAATAAACTATGCCTCAAATGCTAGAATACATGAAAAATTATTTTTAAATAAGCTACAGTTGCCTGGCTCATTTTTACACATATGTTACTATGCCAAATTAATACACATCATGTCTTAACCTAGGGTCTCACTACCTTAAGAGTGTGTGCTGAGAATATCTAACCCCCACCCCAAAGTCTCACCTTAGCCTGAAGTCATTTATAATGGCAACAACTTAAAACAAGAAAAGAAAGAATAAAAAGGTTACATACAAATAAAAAAGAAACCAACCTACCTCAAAGGTGCAAAATCTAGTTCACTTTGTTGAAATAAGGAATCAGACCCAGGCTCTTGATCTTGTGTCAAACATGTCAGCAAAGGCAAATCAGGAGAAGCAAAGTTGTCTTGTATGACTACAAAGTTTTAAATATAAAAATGTTGTGAATGCTGAAAGTTAATTTCTTAGGTTACCCATGTAACAAAGAACCTAAATATGCTACCATCTGGAAGTCTCTACAAGCATCAGAATGATAACATACCAACAGCAACTACCATGTATTCATAGCCTGAAAAGGTCCCAGTCTTAAAGTACAATATTTCAATGAAAACCTTGAAGGATAGGTATTATTATCCCCATCTCACAGATGAGGAAACATAGTACAAAATTTAAGAAATATTATTTGTCCACAGTCAAATAGCTTAAGTGTCAGAGTGAGAACTGAACCTAAAGACTCTAATTTCTTAGCAAGTGCTCCTATCCATTATGAGTGTTTCTTTCCATCTTAGATCAAAGTGTAGTCCACAGGTTCCTGGGCATCCCGAAAATATTCTTAGGAGGTGTCTAGAATCAAAATTATACTCAAAATAACATTAAGATGTCATTTGCCTTATTCACTCTCATTCTCCCACAAGGGTATAGTAGAATTTTCCAGAAGCTGCATCATCTATGATATAGCAACATATTTTGAATGCAGAAGCAGATATCTAACTGTCTTCTACGAGGTCAAGCATTACAGGGATTTTAAGTAAAACAATGTTACTCTTCTAAATAGTTATTTTCTAAAAAAATATGTAATTTAACACCTATGCAGCAATGGAGCTATTATTTTATAATGAGTTAATAAATATTTCAGAAATTTCTCAGTTTTAATTTCTAATAAGGGAAAATATCAATAAGCCACATAAACAAAACCTCTTTGAAGTCCTCAATAATTTTAAAGTATGTAAAGGAGTCCTATGACCAAAAAGTTTGAGAACTGCTGATTCAAAAGAAAAATAATCCTTGGGGCTCCTGGATAGCTCAGTTGGTTAAGTGTCCAACTTAAAGATCTCATAGTTTGTGAGTTTGTGTGAGTTTGTGAGTTTGTCACTGTGCTGACAGTGCAGAGCCTGCTTTAGATTCTCTCTCTCTCTCCATCTCCCCTGCTCGCTGTCTCTCTTTCCCTCTCTCTCTCTCTAAAAATAAATAAATAAACTTAAAAACAATTTTAAAAAAAGGAAAAATAATTCTTACAGATTTCTGATTTCAGTTACAAATAACTTATTAAATATGCTTAAATATGTACAAAATAGGTATAAACTTATTTTTATAGCATTTATATAACTATAAAAGAATAAAGTTTTAATAGAAATAAAACTATAAAACCAACATTTATCTAATGCATTTTATCTAATATTAATGTAACTGGATATGTGACATTTTGCTAAAACTAAACTGTTCTTTTACTATGAATATAATACTGTTGCTACAGTATACTTTCTTGATTTCAGAAGACCTATAATACCTCCCTATCATAACTGTCATACTCTTGTTTTAATCTTTGGTCTGTTTGCTTCCCACCTACACTGTCAACTTCATATCTACTTTATTCACAGCTGTATCCTCAGTGCCTACCAAAGTACTTGCTACACTTAATAGGCACTCAAAATAGATTTATTTACTGAATCAATTTATTAAAAAATAAGAAGCAGAGGCACGTGGGTGGCTCTGCCAGTTAAGCCCTTGACTCTTGAATCAGCTCAGGTCATGATCTCACAGTTCGTGAGTTCATCAGGCTTGGCACTAACAGCCATGAGCCTGCTTAGGATTCTTTCTCAGTCTCTCTCTCTCTCTCTCTCAAAATAAAAAAGTAAACAGTTTTTTGTTGTTGTTGTTGTTGTTGTTGTTTTTTAAATGAGAAGCAGAACAATAATAATAACCTTTACTACCAGGGACTACTTGGTGTAATTCCTCTTTGAACTTGGCTTAGAGGCTCATTCTTAAACCTTTGTAAAAGAAGTCCTTCACCCCTCTAAGAATCCTGAAGGTTTTTAACAAAGACCCCACATTTCCTCACATTTAGACAACTACTGATGGCTTGGATCACTCTTTCTTGAGATATCTAACTGTTCCAGCACCAGTCATCATCCTGACATTTGCCACTGGTAAGACCAATACACCCCTCAATGACTGTATTCATGTGTAACAAAATAGCAATGGTGAAATTTCTTCTAACTATCAGATCCAGGGATCTGCTCTAATAATTAAAAAATGTTCTACTTTCTATAGTAAATGAGAAGCTGGAGTTATTAAAACTTTACCCAGAAAACATTTTAGAAGTCACATCACACAATTTCCTACCCAATTTCAGAAATGTTGAAATTCTCTTAGAGAATTTTGCTTGACATTTTACAGTGATATCAAACTGACTTTATTGTTATATAGTCTTTCTGCTATTAAATGGCACTATTAGAAAGTTCTTTCTTCTATCAAACTGAAAACAGCTTCCCTATAAGTTATGTATTCTCGTTTTAACCTCTTGACTAGGAATTAGCAAATATTTTAAAAATTTTTTCTACTGTTTTATATATTTCTGAGAGAGAGAGAGAGACAGTGTGAGCAGGGGAGTGTCAGAGAGAGAGGGAGACACAGAATCTGAAACAGGTTCCAGGCTCTGAGCTAGCTGTCAGCACAGAGACCGACGTGGGGCTTGAACCCACAAACCGTGAGATCACGACCTGAGCCGAAGTCCAACACTTAACCCAGAGCCACCCAGGAGCCCCAGCAAATTATTTTTAATAAAAGGTCAATTAATAAATATTGTAGGCTTTCTTGGCCACACATGGTCTCCATCATACATACTTCTTTGTTTGTTTTTACAATCCTTTAAAATTACAAAAGGGGCGCCTGGGTGGCTTAGTCGGTTAAGCATCCGACTTTCCCTTAGGTCATGATCTCGCAGTTCGTGCGTTCGAGCCCCGCGTCGGGCTCTGTGCTGACAGCCAGCTCAGAGCCTGGAGCCTATTTCAGAGTCTGTATCTCCCTCTCTCTCTGACCCTTCCCTGCTCATGCTGTCTCTCTCTCCTAGAAATAAATAAAAATATTTTTTAAAAAATAATAAAATAAAATAAAATAAAATAAAATAAAATAAAATAAAATAAAATAAAATTACAAAAACTACTCTTAGCTCATGGAAGGTACAAATCAGACCCCTGCCCTAGACCATTATATGCTCATCTCATGGTCCTCTTATTTTTCTGTTTACTGAACTGTCTTCCCAGAAGTGGAAGTCATTTTCACCTATATATCTCTAGCATCAAACACACCATAGGCATTTAGATATTTGTTAAACGAAAGAATAAATCAATTAAAGGTAAGCTCCTTCCTCTTTAGCTTGACAGCCCTTCAAACACCTGATCATAGCAAAGTCTTCTCTTTGATCTATAGTCATACTCATCTCTTCTCACAAAGGAATTCCAATGCTGTCAACATCTTTCTTAAAATGTGAAATTCAAACTGACTTTGATGATCCACATCATAAAGTACACTGGCACCAATATTCTGAGTTGGATAGCCTTGGCTTCTGTCTGAAAAGAACTTGCTGAATTAACTCCTATCTGTGCTCTTCTACAAAACTCTGACAATACAACATTGTGGTTAAATCTCGTTCCCCTGACAAAGCCTAAGTTTAAAATATGTGGTTGTCGACGGGCACCTGGGTGGCTCAGTCGGTTAAGCGTCCGACTTTGGCTCAGGTCATGATCTCACGGTTCGTGGGTTCAAGCCCCACATTGAGCTCTGTGCTCACAGCTTAGAGCCTGGAGCCTGCTTCATATCCTGCTTCCCTCTCTCTCTGCCTCTCCCGTGCTCACTCTCTGTCTCTGTCTCTCAAAATAAAATAAAGACGTAAAACATTTTTTCTTAAAATATGTGGTTGTCTCTTTTCTCAATTTTTGAAAAAAAAAAACCTGAGTAAAGCAGAAAGAAAATAATATTTGTCTGAATATCATTTAGGCATGAAAAAATTAAAATTACTATATTCATTAGACATTCTTCTATATTCACCTAATCCAAAGTAGTAATAGTACAATTCTGCCTCCAACTTAATGATTTGAAAAGTACTTAAAGTTTACCTTTTGTAAAGGGGCACCTGGGCAGTTCAATCAGTTAAGCATCTGACTCTTGGTTTTGGCTCACATCATGATCCCAGGGTTGTGGGATCAAGCTCCATGTCCGGTTTCACACTGACAGTACAGAGGCTACGTGGGATTCTCTCTCTTCCTCTCTCTTTGCCCTTTCCCCACTCTCTCTCTCTCAAAATAGATAAATACACACACACACACACAAAGTTTACCTTTTGTAAAGAGCTAATAAGTCAGCTCCATATTAAATGGAGGAAACCAATAAGATCTACCTCAAACAAGTCATTTAACCTTTTTATCTCAATTTTTGGATCTGAAAACTGAGAATAGCATAAAGCCTTAAATACTGCTAAGAATCTAACAAAGTAAACATAAACATTTACTTTTCTAAGGACCATGGAGTCTTCACTGCTGAGAGAAGTTGTCAAAGGATAATATATAGTTTACCCCAAGGAAAAATCCATAAATTCTGGGCTGAGGAGGTATACCCACTAGAAAGGATCACCTTTCTGCCTTTTGTGAGGAAGAACATAATAAAATGAGGAGAAAGTGCACATTTAACTAGTCCAGCTGGACAGTGTAGAAAACCAGAAATAAGCTCTAAAGAGCTCCTTAAATCAAGAAAGGATTTAGATGCAGGACCGGTAGCCCCCCAAAAGTATTTTACAAATATTACTACTAGCTAAAAATAGAGAGGCATTACCTAGCAGCGGTGAACATAAGAGATCTCTCTTGGGTTCCTTTACTTGATTTTCCGGTTGGGTCAAAATACCTTCCTCCAGAGATGGGAAGTCTGTCACTTCGGTCCTTTCCTCTCTCATATTAAAACTGGTCTGGGTTGCATCCAAAGTGTGGGAAGAATCCATCTCTTGAGGAAGACAATGCCAAGATTCTGTTCTCTAAAACAATAATTTTGAAGGAAAATATGCTAAGTAATTAACTGAGTTGCCATATACGTTAATATTTAGATTTGAGGCACCTGGGTGGCTCAGTTGGTGAAGTGTCGGACTTTAGTTCACGTCATGATCTTGTGGTTCGTGAGTTTGAGCCCCACGTTGGGCTCTGTCTGTGATGGCAGCCCGAAGCCTGGAACCTGCTTTGGATTGTGTCTCCCTGTCTCTCTGCCCCACCCTGCTCATACTCTGTCTCTTTCTCTCTCTCAAAAATAAATATGCATTAAAAAAACAAAAGAGAGGCGCCTGGGTGGCTCAGTCAGTTAAGCATCAGACCTCGGCTCAGGTAATGATCTCGCATTTCATGAGTTCAAGCCCCACATCGGGCTTGCTGCTGTCAGTGCCGAGCCACTTCAGATCCTCTGTCCCTCTCAATGTGCTTCTCCCTCACTTGTGATCGCATGCACTCTCTTTCAAAAATAAATAAACATTAAAAAAAAGATATATTTAAATATCCACTCATGTAGCATAAAGCTTGCTATATGATGACATTCTCATCACAATGTTTGGAAAAATTAAAACTGTTCTTTCTGTATGTTTTTCACAATATTAACTACATTACATCTCTTCGCATCACTACTCATCTTTTAACATGTAATATCACTTGCATTTCTGCTATTCTTTAACAGCTCCCATCACTAAAACAATACATTTGGTTCTACATGATGAAATCCTGTAGTTGAGTGTCCAACTCTTGATTACAGCTCAGGTTATGATTTCACAGTTCAAGCCCCATATGGGGCTCTGTGCTGACAGCTCAGAGCCTTGAGCCTACTTTAGATTCTCTCTGCCCCTCCCCAACTTGTGCTCTGTCTCTCTCTCTGTCTCAAGACAAAGCAACAAAGGAAACTGAGAGAGAACAGTAGAAGAGTAGAAAGAAAACCAGTAGAAGCTAAGAAAGGAAATGATTTTAATAAATTACACAATGGTTAACAGTGTCAAATGCTATTTATTGTACGTAAGATGAGGACAGAAATGTGCTCACTGTGTTCAGTTATACAAATGTTGACAAAACTTGCTTTCACTGAGTTGAGGTCAGAACACAAAGGACATTAAGTAAAATAAGTAGATAACCAGTGATATAAGGCATATATATTTAAAAGGAAAAAATAGTTGATATGATTGTCTACTTAGAAAGTCCTAAAAAAAACCACAAAAGAGCTATTACTAAAACCAGTAAATGTGATTAGCAAGGTCACAGGATACAAGGTCAATATAAAAAGTCATTTATATTTCCATGTAATTGCAACAAATAGGAAATTGAAATTTTTGAAAGCATCAGTAAAATTACACTTCAATAAAAAAAAGAACATTTTAAAAAAAAGTAAGTCTAACACAAACATGTTAAGTTGGGTAAACTGAAAACAACGAAACACGATAGAAAAAAATTAAACCCCTAAATAAAACTGAAAGAACTGCTGTGTTCGTGAATTAGAGAACTCAAACATTATTAAGGTGTGAATTCTCTACAAATTGATGTACAGACTCAAAGCAATCCTAATCAAAATTCCAGGTTTTTTTAATAGCCAACATGATTCTAAAATATACATAAAAATTAAAAGAACCTAGCATAAACAAAACCATTTTTCACAAGAGGAACAAAATGGGAGAATGCACACTACCTGATTTCAAGACGGTACAATAATTAAGAATGTGGAATTAGCATAAGAGATATAAAATCAATGGAATAGAGAGCTCAGAAACAGACCAACACATATATAGTTAATCTGTTTTTGATAAAGACGACAAGTAAGCACTAGAGAAAAAGAGTATTTTCAGCTAACAGTGGTAGAATGACCATTAGATTTTCATATGTAAAAAAATGAAGCTGGATCCTTTACATCACATACAAAAAACAACTCAAAATGGATCATAGATATAAATATAAAGCCTAGAACTATAAAATTTCAGAAACTGGTTCTCAACTTGGTAAAATTTTGACACCCCCTTTTCTCTCAACCATGGGACACTTGGCAATTTTTGGAGATATTTTTCATGGTTACAACATAGAGGAGTATTATTGATATCTAATGGGGAAAGGTTGAGGATACTGCTAAACACCGTACAACATTCAGGACAGCACCACACAATAAGGAACCATCTGGCCCAAAATGTTAAAAGTGCCATGGTTGAGAAACCTTGCTCTGTAAAATAAACAGGAAAAAATCTTTGTGACATAGGATTAGGCCAATATTTCTCAGAACACAAGAAGTACAAACCATAAAGAAACAAAATCAACACACCAACTTCATCAAAATTAAAGTTTCTGCTCTTCAAAAGATATATAGAATTTGTAGAAAAACCATAAAGAGGGAAAAAATACTTGCAAAACATGTTTGATAAAGGTCATGCATCTACAATTTATAAAGAATTCCCAAACTCAACAAGTGGAACAAATTAGCCATTAAAAAAGGGAAGTGATCTTAAAAGACCCTATGTTAAAGAAGAAACATGGGTGGCAAATAACACACAAAAAGATGCACAATATCATTAGTCATTAGAAAAATGCGTATTAAAACCACAGTGAGATACTTTAATGCACCTAGAATGGCTAAAAATTTGAAACAAAAAAGCTGATGCAGCCATTTTGGAAAACAGTATGGAAGTTCCTCAAAAATATTAAAAACAGAACTAACTAAAAACTAAAAAAAAAAAAAAAAAAACACAGAACTAACTACTCTACAACCCAGAAATTGCACTACTAGGTTTTTATGTAAAGGATATAAAAATGCTAATTCAAAGGGGCACTTGCACGCCAGTGTTTATAGGAGCGCTATCAACAACAGCCAAATTATGGAAAAAGCCCAAAAGTCCGTCATCTGACGAATGGATAAAGATATGGTGTACACACACACACACACACACACACACACACACACACATACACAATGGAATACTATTGTGTATGAATGGAATATATCATCGGTGATGATGAAAAAGAATGAAATCTTGCCATTTGCAATAACATGGATGAAACTATAGTGTATTATGCTAAGTGAAATAAGTCAGTCAAAGAAAGACAATTACATGATTTCACTCATACGTAGAATTTAACAAAACAGATGCACATTAGGGAAAGGGACGGAAAACTAAAATAAGATAAAAGCAGAGAGGAAGGCAAACCATAAGAGATTTCTTAAATACAGAGAACAAACTGAGGGTTGCTGGAGGGGAGGTGGCGGCAGGGGGTGTGTGTGCTACATAGGTGATAGACATTAAGGACAGCACTTGTTGGGATGAGCACTGGGTGTTGTACGTCAGTGATGAATCACTAATTTCTAATCCTGAAACCAATACTACACCATATGTTAACTAACTTGAATTTAAATTAAAATACATACATACATAGGTACATACTAATAATATCAAGAGCTGGCAAGGATGCAAATCAACTAGAACTCTCATACATTGTGGGGGAAAGCAAAATGGCACAACCACTTTGGAAAACAGTTTAGCACTTTCTTATAACATTAAACATACAATTACTTTACCAGCCGTCAATCCCAATCCTAAGTATTCACCCAAGAGAAATGAAACCATTTGTCTACCAAAAAAACCTATACCTGTATGGAATACTACTCAGCAATATAAAAAAAGAACAAACTACTGATTCATACAACAATATGGGTAATCTCAAAAACATGTGCTAAGTGAAAGAAGCCATATTCAAAAGTCTATATACTTTAATTCTGAAAAGGCAGAAATCAAGGACAGAAATAAGATCAATGGCTGCCAAGGACTAAGGACGGGGGAGATAACTGATTACAGTGTAGCACAAGGGAACTTTTTTGGAGTGACGGCTATCTTGTATATCTCAAATGTGATACTGGTTATATGACTGTATATATTTGTCAAACTTCATCAAATGATATACCTAAGAATGAAGTTTGTTATATTTAAATTATACATTCGTGAGGTTAACATGGCAGGAAATGGAGAGAGGAAACTCATGAAAATTTCACTTAACAGGGAGCAGAATATTAAATCAAACAGCAGCTGGAGAAGTGAGTATGAGACATTTGTATTCAAGTTGCTGGAGGTGACATGGTCTAGACTGTGACCATGAGATGAGTAACGTAGTGGGGGTAGGAGAAGTTTAGGAGGAGGAATGCAGGAAAAGATCTCTGCAGGTTAGACCAAAGAGCTGAGTTTTAGGCACTATATGGGTAATGAAAGCTGAAGTGGAAGAAACTGAGAACAATGTACCAAGAGCTATAGTTCTCAATGAATAATTAAAGTTAACTTAGACAAGAGCAATAAAGATGAATGAGCAAAATAAAAGGAAGAAAAGGGGAGGAAATGAGAAAGTGGCATAACGCTCCAGCTATGCTGAGGAACCCAAGCATAAAGGCAAAAATGAAGAGCTACAGGATCTATCCACTGTGTATGTTATTTTTTTCAAGGCATATATTTCATAAGACAGAGACAAAAATGAAGACATCTATTTTTGGACCATGCTCTAGCATAAACATGTCCTCAGAGAATATTAAACCATTAAGGGGTATATCCCTGTATTCATTTCCTAGGGCTGCCATAACAAAGTCACACAAACTGGGGGGCTCAAAACAACAGATTCTCTGACAGTTCTAGAGGCTGGCAGTCTGAAACCAGGGTGTTGGCAGGGCCATGCTCCATCCAAAGCCTCTAGGGGAGGGTCTTTCCTTACTTCTTCTACCCTCTGGTAACCACAAGCATTCCTTGGCTTGTGGAAATGTATCTCTAATGTCTGCCTCTGTCTTCACAGGACCAACTTCTTGTGTGCCTCTCTCTTTGCATACTTTTTTTTTTAATTTTTTTTAAATGTTTTTATTTATTTCTGAGATAGAGAGAGAGACAGCGCAAGCAGGGGAGGGTCAGAGAGAGGGAGACACAGAATCTGAAACAGGCTCCAGGCTCTGAGCTAGCTGTCAGCACAGAGCCCTACGCAAGGCCCGAACCTACCAACCGTGAGATCATGACCTGAGGCGAAGTCAGTCCCGACTGAGCCACCCAGGCACCCCTCTTTGCATACTCTTCTTGTCTCTTATAGAGATACCAGTCATATTGGATTAAGGGTCCACCCTATTCCAGTATGATCTCATCTAAATTATATCTGCAATTACCCTATTTCCAAATAAGGACACATTCTAAGGTACTGGGGATTAGGACTTCAACACATTTTGGGGCACATAATTTAATCCACTGCAATCCCCCTTCCATTTAATGGCCTCAGAGCGCCATTCATTTTCTGGTCAATGTATCCCAACAGACTACATGCAGAAGCAGATACGAGAATCCAATTGTGATGGTTAATTTTATGTGTCAGCTTGGCTGAGCCACCAAGTGCCCAGATATTTGGTTAAACATTATTCTGTATGTCTGTGTCTAGATGAGATTAACATTTGATCCACAGACTTAACCCATTTCCCTTGATGATAGCAAATCTTCTTCCTCCATATTTTGCATCAAATAAATAATCACTGCAATTTAAGGGAAATTGAAGGTACCAGAAGAAATGTGATATCCAATTTGTTAGATAATCAACCTTAAATACTTAACCATTTTGAGTAAGGCTGCATTTTTCCTCCAACAAACATGTATGAACTTTTTTCCTATTTGCTCACAATATTTCTATTTCTTCTAAATTTGTAACTATCCTCAAGATCAGTGGTTCTCAAAGACTGATCCAAGGATACCTGGAGGTCATAGATGCTCTTTCAGGAAATCTATGTGGGCCTCCCTTTTCTATGTATCCATGCATGGCCAGATTTTCCTCACATACTTCAATGTATCCCAACAGACTACATGCAGAAGCAGATATGAGAATCCAATTGTGATGGTTAATTTTATGTGTCAGCTTGGCTGAACCACCAAGTGCCCAGATATTTGGTTCAACATTATTCTGTATGTCTGTGTGTCTAGATGAGATTAACATTTATTTGATCCACACACTTAAGTAAGGCAGACTGCCCTTACCAATGTGGGCAAGCCTCATCCAATCCATTTAAAGACCCAAATAGAACAAAAGGCTGAGCAAGAGAGAATTCACTCCCTCAGCCTGATGGGTCTTTGAGCTAGCACACTGGTATTCTCCTGCCTTTAAACTCCCATTCGAAGGACTTACTGATACCATCAGCTGGCCTGGTCCTCAGCCCTTCAAGACTCGAACTGGAACTTATACCACTAGTTCTCCGGGTTCTCAGGCCTCTGGATTCAGACTACAACTATAGTATTAGCTCTCCTATGTTTCCAGGTTGCAAATCTTGAGAACTCTCAGCCATGATAAGAGCCAATTCCTTATTTTACATATACATACACGCATACATATATACATTAAATAGAGACACAAAAATGTAAAACAATGCCACTCTTCCAACTAATTCTTTGTCCTGGAAAATAGTTGTTTTTCATATTAAAATACATTATTTATATTAACATATAATGGTTTTATTATTTTAAAAATATTTTTAAATATTTTTAAATGTTTTAATTTCTAGTAAGCCATATAGACCCCATAAACAAAAGATACTTAAGATACTTTTGGAGAATGTAAAGGAGTCCTGAGACAAAAAAGAAAGTGAAATGCTATTCTACATAACTAAGATTATCAAAGATCTATTAGAAAAATGGAGTATTAAAGTAATTCACCTCTTACCATTTTTCAAAGCTAAATGAGAATTTCTCATGCTGCTTATGAAAAGAAAAATAATTTCCCAGTTACATAAGACATACCTGATCATCTCCAGAATTCCACTGAGCTGTTTTTTCCACAGAGACCACATTAGCATCAGAAATCTGTGTAACACTATTGCCTTGATATAGTGACTGTTGCCATGCATGACAGGTCAATGGAACAACCTGAAAATCAAAAGCAGATTTAAACAGTGATGAACAGGGGCGCCTGGGTGGCTTAGTCGGTTAAGTGTCCGACTTTCGCTTAGGTCATGATCTCGCGGTTCGTGGGTTCGAGCCCCGCGTCGGGCTCTGTGCTGACTGCCAGCTCAGAGCCTGGAGCCTGCTTCAGTCTGTGACTCCCTCTCTCTCTGACCCTCCGCTGCTCACGCTGTCTCTCTCTCTCCTAGAAATAAATAAAAATATTAAAAAAAAATAAAAAATAAAAAATAAATAAACAGTGATGAACAATGGTGATAAACAATCACTATTGTTAAACAATAATAAAATTTAAACGTTAGCTATATTTCTCAGTTTATAAAGTACTTTCATATATATAATATTTCAACTTCACAACCACTGTCCAAATTACTACCTGCACTTAAAAATAAAAAAACGGGTACTTGGGAGGCTCAGTTAGCTAAGCAACCGACTTCGGCTCAGGTTATGACCTTGTAGTTGGTGGGTTCAAGACCCACATCTGGCTCTGTGCTGACAGCCCAGAGCCTGGAGCCTGCTTTGGATTCTGCGTCTCCCTCTCACTTTCTGCCCCCACTATGTTCTGTCTCTCTTTGTCTCTCAAAAATAAATGTTAAAAAAAAAATGTTTAAGATAAAAAAAATTACAAAAACAGAGTCTTAAGGTTATCCAGTTAGAATTCAACATACTTTCCAATAAACCATAGCAGTTCCTTAACCTCCTATACTCCTAGAAGTAAAAGAAGCAAGCAGAAACAAGCAAGTTATCGGTTTTAAAATCTTACTATTTAAGACACCTAAGAAAGTAACCCTAAAAATGAGGACTGAAATCAACTCAGTGGGAACAAACGTCAGGCTTATTTTGTGAGACAGGATTTAGAGTAGGACTCTCTCACCTGTGAAAGACAATAAACGGTGTGACTGTGTGACTGTCGCCCAAGGCTGAAGCAATGCAAACAGAAAAGATCTGAGGCGGGGTGCCTCTGTGGCTCAGTTAAGCAGTTAAGCGTCTGACCTGGGCTCAGGTCAAGATCTCATGGTTAATTGGTTCAAGCCCCAGGTCAGGCCTGAAGCCTGCTTCAGATTCTGTGTCTCCCTCTATCTCTCTGCCCTCCCCGGCTCAGGCTCATGCTCTCTCTCTCTCTCAAAGATAAATACACATTACAAAAATCTTAAAAAGAAAAGAAAAGATCCAAGGCAATCAAACAAAAATGACCTAGGTCAAAGTCACTGACTGGCTCAGGGACTGGTTCCTGAGATTTTTTTCCAATATCTCCGAAAAACCAAAGCTTCAATACCAGACCTCTTCTTCTAGGGTGCCTGGGTGGCTCAGTTAAGTGTCTGACTTCAGCTCAGGTCATGATCTCACAGTTCCTGAGTTCAAATCCCATGTCAGCGCAGAGATCGCTTTGGATCCTCCACTTCCCTCTCTCTCTGCCCCTCCCCTACTGTCGCATATTCTCTCTCTCTCAAAAAGAAATTAACATTAAAAAAAAAAAAAAAAAAAAGACCACTTGGGGTGCCTGACTGGCTCAGTCAGTTACAAGTCAGACTTAGGCCCAGGTCATGATCTCCCAGTTTGTGGGTTTGAGCCCCATGTTAGGCTCTGTGCTGACAGCCTGGAGCCTACTTCGGATTATGTCTCCCTCTCTCTCTATCCCTCCCCAAATCATGCTCTGTCTCTCTCAAAAACAAATAATAAAACATTAAAAAAAAAAAAAAAAAGCCCAAAGGCTTTTTTTTAAGCAGCCACAAGGGGCAAGGTAGAGACAACCACAAAAACACCAGGTAGAGAAGGGTGTACCCAAAGACAAAACAAAAAAACATTCCTGCTAAAAATGCAATTACAAACTATACTTTCAGAAAACTTTAAAAGGAGTATCTCAGATCCTCAAAAAATCAAGACGCAGTGTTCATAAAAGGAGAACAGAAAAATAAATAAATAAAAGTAAAACAGGCAGTTATGAGTCAAGAAAAGATGAATTCTAACAAAATATTAATAACCACAAATGTGAAAGAGCCTCCGAAAGAAACCCAAGATGATCATATTTTTTCCAGAATTAAAACACTGTTACTATACTAACAAAACATTTTTACAGAGGACTTAAACAATGTGCTTTTGGTCACAAAAAGGTCAGCATATTTAAAACCTATTCAAGAACTAGAGATTTCTAAGATATCAATTCTTCCGAGAGGTTTTTCTCTAATGGTGGAGTACCATGGTACATACCCATCTTGCTTCAACGGCAATGTTTAAGGGGTAAAGAATAAAAAGCAAAGAAAATTGTTTTGCAAATGCATTCTGGCAATCTGAAGTCCCTAAATATGTAACAATATAGCCAATGTTTTGGCACAGTTAGTCTTATTTAAGCCTTCCAGGAAAGAAGAATGCCAAAATGAATGTTCAAAATGGCTATTCACTGCAGCTCAATAACTGGTTGTGGACCATGGGGTACCATCTCTGAAAAGAGCTAATTCACTACAGCTTATAAAAAAAGAGTTCAATTTGTTAGGATATTTGTAGAAAACTAATGATACAATATTAAGAAACTAGCATTTTGAGAACTAACCTGACATGTGAGAAAAAGAACACCCCCCCTCACTTTTATCAAAACCCAAAAATTAAAATTAAATGTTAAAAGTTCTTATTAAAAACTCAATTCCCCAGAACTTCCTATTTTTACCACCTGTTTAGACTTCATTAAGAAAACTCATTACTAATACATACCCATATGTTTGATCAATGTTCCCACCATTACCTCTGAATATAATCCAATGCTTGAAGAAGGACTTGTAAGATGAATGCTTCAAAACTAAGCAAGTGTCATCAGCAACTCTTCATCTGAGATTCTAGTATAAATTAAAAGTCTGAAAGAGCCCCTCCCTGAGTAAGTTTTTAATATTAAAAATTATAGTCTTCCAAATATATGCTGTCTATGAAATAAATACTTTAGACCTAAGGACACATAGAGGCTGAAAATGAAAGGATGAAAAAAAATAATCCATGCAGGGGCACCTGGGTGGCTCAATCGGTTAAGTTCCAACTTTGGCTCAGGTCACGATCGCACGGTCCGTGATTTTGAGCCCCGCGTCAGCCTGTGTGTTGACAGCTCAGAGCCTGCAGCCTGCTTCAGATACGTGTCTCTCTTCTCTCTGACCCTCCCCAACTCACACTCGCTCTCTCTCTCTCTCTCTCAAAAGTAAATAATAAACATTAAAAAAAAAAAAAGATACTCCCTGCAAAAGGTAACTAAAAGAGCACAGGAGTGGCTATTCCAAGTTCAGACAAAATAGATTTTAAATCAAAAACTGTTACAAGACAAGGGGCACCTGGGTGGTTCAGTTGGTTAAGCATCTGTCTCTTGATTTTGGCTTGGGTTATGATTTCATGGTTCGTGCGTTCGAGCCCTGTGTCTGGCTCAGCACTGACAACATGAAGCCTACCTGGGATTTTCTCTCCTTTTTTCTCTGCCCCTACCCTGCTCATGTTCTCTCCCTCTCTTTCAAAATAAATAAATATTTTTTAAAAACCTGTTACAAGACAAAAATCATAAAAGGGTCAAATCAAATCAAATCACCAAGAAGATCTAACGATTACAAGCATCCAACCTCAAAGCTCCCAAATCAATTAGGCAAATTTTAAAGACTCGAAGGGAGAAATACACAGCAACACAGAAACATTAAGAGACTTCAATACCTCACTTTCAATAATGGAAATATAAAACAACCATACAGAAGAACAATAAGGAACAGAAGAACTGAGTAACATCGTAGACCAACTGTACCTAACACACATACACAGAACACTCCACCTAAAAACAGCAGAATATACATTTTTCTCAAGTACACATGGAACATTCTTTAGAACAGGACATGTTAGGCTTCAAAACAAGTCTTAACAAATTCAAGAAGACTGAAATATACAGTTATTTTTTCTAATCACAATAGGATGAAACTAGAAATCAGGAGCACAGAAAAAACTGTGAATGTCCACAAATATGTGGAATTGAAACATATTCAAAAACTTAATGGGTCACACAAGAAGTCACAAGGGAAAATAAAAAATGCTTTGACACAACTGAATATGAAGATACAAAATACCAAAACTTACGGGATACAGCAAAAGCAATGCTAAGAGGGAAGTTTAAAGCCATAAATGTGTCATTAAAAAAACAACATGATATCAAATTAACAGCCTAACTTACACCTCAAGGAACAATGAACTAAACCTAAAGCAAGCATAAGGAAAGAAATAATAAACACTGGAGCACAGATAAACAAAATACTGAACAGGAAAAAAAAAAAAATCAATGAAACTAAAAATTTAGTTTTTTAAAAGACCACAACAAAATTGGCAAAACCTTAGCTAGATTGACTAAGGAAAAAAAAGAAGACTCAAAATAATAAAATCAGAAATGAAAGAGGAAACATTACAAGCAATGGCATAGAAATAAGGCTTGTAAGAGAATAGTATGAACAACTCTACACCAACCAATTGGACAGCAAAGAAGAAATGCATAAATTCCTAGAAACACACATCCTACCAACAATGAATCATAAAGATTAGAATATCTGAACAAACCTATAACTAGCAAGAACATTGAATCAGTAATCAAAAACCTCCTGACAGGGAAAAGCCGAGGACCAGATGGTTTCACTACAGAATTCTACCAAACATTTAAAAAAGAAAGAACATCAATCTTCCTAAAACATTTCCAAAAAATTGAAGAAGGAAGACTTCCTCACCCATTCTATGGGGCTAGTATTACCTTGATAAGAAAAAGCCAGCCAAAGACACTACAAGAAAACTAATACCAATATCCTTGATAAACAGAGAAGCAAAAATCCTCAACAAAATACTAGCACAGAACATTAAAAGGGCTGTATACCATATTCAAGTGGGATTTAACCCTCGAACACAAGGGTGGTTCAACATACAAAAACCAATCAACGTTAATACCTCACATTAACAGAATTAAGGATAAAACA